CAACAACAGTTATCAGGTGAGTATTCAGATGGCTCCATTTGAGGCGTTGTATGGTAGACCTTGTAGGCCTCCTGTTTGTTGGAATGAGGTGGGCGAGATAGCCGCCCTAGGACCCGACATTGTACTTGAGACTACTGAGAAGATTAAGCTGATCAGACAGAGATTGCTTACAGCTCAGAGGCGACAGAAGAGTTATGCGGATAGGCATAGATGGCCACTTTCAATTGAGGTGGGAGACCATGTTTTTCTTCGGGTTTCTCCACGGAAGGGGTTGTTGAGGTTCGGGAAGAGTGGCAAGTTATCGCCACGATTCATTGGATCTTTTGAGATCTTAGACCAGGTAGGAGATGTTGCCTACAGACTTGCTTTGCCACCGCAGATGGACAGAGTTCACAATGTTTTTCATGTATCGATGCTACGGAAGTACGAGCCAGATCCATCTCACATTTTAAGTTGGGTTGATATGGACATTGATGAAGATGTTTCCTACGAGGAGGGACGTGCAGATCCTTGACACACAGCAGAAAGTGTTAAAGAACAAGATGATACCATTAGTGAAATTTTTCTAGAGGAATCATGGAGTTAAGGAGGCTACTTGGGAGCTTAAACAAGAGGTTCACTCCAAGTATACAGAGTTGTTTTCTACCTCAAGTATGACTTGATTTTGGGGACAAAATCTTTTAAAGTTAGGGAGAATGTAATGTTATGAATGTTTTTTTTTTTTAATATAAATATAATGTAAAAAAAAAAAAAATGGGTTTAATGCTTGTGGTAGGGCCCACTCCCCACTTATTCTTCTAAAGGCCAAAGGGCCATTATTTTAGCCTGAAACCTTTCTTCTCTCCTCGGCAGTAAGCATCTTTCTCTTTTTTTTTTTTTTTTTTTTTTTTTTTTTTTTTTTTTTTTCATCAACTTTAAACTACAATTACTCTCTCATTTTTGAGAATTTTTGGGTGCCGTTTGCGGCAAAACGAAGAGCGCGGCGAGATCTTGACATAGATGTAAGCAATTTTAGCTTTGGTGCCTCCTTGAATTTTCGAATCTAGGGCTTTGGAATTGGGGGTTTTCTCCTCCTTTGAGGTAAGGGTTCTTAATGTACAATTTCTTGCACCTTAGTGAATTTCCTTCTTGATTTTGCTACTTAGCATGCTATTTTGTGTTGATATTCCTGTAAATGATTTAATTGTTCTAAATAAATTATATGACTATGTGTTTTAATTGACATTATGTGTAATAGCATGCTTGAATGATATAGAATTCATGTCTTGCATGCCTAATCCTGCTAGCTTATTGTTGAATGTAAATAATGTGATAATTTCTTTGAAATTTTTGTAAAGCATGTAAAGTGGCATGAGTTTGAAAATTTCATGTGTGTTGATAAATATTGCCATGACATGAAAATATGAAACATATATGCACTTCATTGGGAAGAAATGGGGAATATTATTTTGTATATATATATATATATATTTGGGAAAGAATGTTGAAAATGATTTTGTTAAAAAAAAAAAAAAAAAAAAACAAACCCGGCCGCCTAGGAGTTGCTTAGGGACTGTGGCGTTAGTGAGGCCTAGAGGGAACTAGGAAAATCACTCTAGTGTGGTTGAGTTACATAGGCCCCAAATGACGCCATAGAGTTGCCATAGGTCAGGGACAGTGGCCAATCCTTTTTTCGTGCCGCTAGGGAGTTGCCATGGGACGGGTTCACTAACGGTTTAAAAATGATAATGGAAATAGTTTTGGCAAATGGGGAGTGACATTGCATGGTATGGCATATCATTGCCTGACATATTCATTTGTGGTATCGGTGGTATTGTGGTTATATATATAATTATTTTTTCGGCATGGTATGATCTCAATTTCCTTATTCCTATTTGTGTGGATTCATGGGGTCTCAAGAGGTGTACCTTAGACACTTCCTACTGAGCTTATGCTCACCCCTTATATTGAACATTTTTTCTTTTTCAGAAAACGGGAAAGAAGTGGTGGATGACTTTCCACCATAGGCTTAAATTGGGTTAAAAGACCTTTTTGTTATTTTTGTATCTAAGTCCCACTATTTTTGTAAAACTTAGCATATTGTATTCTATACTGAGGCTTATGGACTCATGCTATTGTAGTTATATTCATGGGCTGTAATTTCATTAGAAGTTGTCTAAACGTTGTTAGACATGGACGTTTGACCTTAATTATATTTTTGGGACTGTAATTATGATATTTGGATTAAATAACATGTAGCTGTTCTACCATAAACTGAACTATGTTGAGATATAATGAATGGATGAAAGAAATGTATTATTTGCATTGTGCTGTGATAGGTTAGGTAAATTTTGAAGGTCCAAGAGAGGCCCTATGCATTTAAGCAGGTTGTTGTAGGACCTCTTTTCAGCAGAGGTCATGCCCAATTCTTTTTTATATATAATTGGTATCAGTTTAGGGTTGTTACAAATTTTTATATTTTATTTATATGTATTATTATATATATTATATATTTTCTTTAAATATATTTTTCTCTAATGTAATAGAGTTTTATAGAAAATAAAATAGGTAATTTGTGGTAGAGTTTTATAAAAATTATTTTATTTTCTTTAAATATATCCTTGTCTAACTAGATTTCCTTTTATTAAATAACTCATAATAAATAGATAAATACAGTATATATGTGATAAAGTTTTAAAGAAAATAAAATAGGTAATCTGTGATAGAATTTTATAGAAATTATTTTATTTTCTTTAATATAATCATAATAAATAGATGAAATACATGTTATATGTGATTGAGTTTTATAGAAAATAAAATAGTTGATTTGTGGAAGAGTTTTATAAAAATTATTTTGTTTTCTTCAAATATATTATTTGTCTAACTAGATTTTATTTTATAAAAAAAGTCATAATAAATAGATATTGTGATAGAGTTTTACAGAAAATAAAGTAGCTAATTTGTTGTAGATTTTATAAAAATTATTTAATTATATTATTAAAGTATAACGAGTTTCAATATTTCAGTATTTTAGTCTTTCAGTATTTCATTATTTATTAATTAATATAAATTACCTATTTATCTATTTATTATGAATTTTTTAATAAAAGAAAATCTAATTAGACAAGAATCATTAATATAAAAAAAATTTATTAATTGATATAAAAAGAGTTTTTTTAAAGAATTTTTATAAAACTCTAACATAAATTACTTATTTATCTATTTATTATGAGTTTTTTAATAAAAGAAAAGCTAATTATACAAGAATTATTAATATAAAAAATATTTATTAATTGACATAAAAAATAAAATAATTTATCTACAATTATTAATTATTTTATTAATTATTAAGTGTTTTATTAATTCTCGATCTAAATTGACTTGTGCATTAAATATTTTAATAAATAACTACTGTTATTTAATAAAAATATATATTATAGTATATTTTTAAGATAATTGACTAAGGTTTAAATATTAAAAATTTTAAGAGCGATATCAACATCGCAAACACTATATTTCTCTATTCTCAGTCATATTCTTCAAAAACTCTTATTACAACCTTCAACTTCTTCTCTGTTTAGGGTAAACCGATATCTCATTTTTGTTTGCAATTTCAGTGATATCTTATTTCTTAATTTATTTTGTTCTCAGCCACAACGATATCTCTTCTCTTAAAAAAAATGTATTATATATTTAAAAGAATTGACTAATTAAGTAATAAAGTTTGTGTTACATACAACTTTTTGTTATTTATATATAAATAACTATAGATTCTTGTTTAATTCTTTTTTTTTAAGTACAAAAATTCTGCGTACATTTAATAATAGCGTATATATATAGAGAGATATATAAATATTTAACAAAATTGGTAGGAGGAATATTTATCATTTTATACAATTTTTTTTAATAAAATATAGAATTTGTTTTGTAGAGAGGAGTTAATGTTTAACACGACTCGTGAGCGTAATGGTCAAATGCTCAAATCTATCAAAAATAAATAAATAAAAATATATATATCTTTTAAGACTTATTTTAAAAATAATATTTTTAATGCCCTTTTCTTAAGTTAAAATAAATACAATAGAATATCTACATGAACACGACCCCTCTACACTAAGGAATTGGATCCTCTAACTTAAATATTCTCTAAGTTATTTTAAATTGAATTTGTTACAGATTGACACGTGACATTTAAAATCTATTTACTGCTGGTGTTAAATTACGTCAACTAATTTAAATGAAGTTTGAAAATTGAACCGTTTTGAGATAAGAAAAATTTACCAAAGTTTAAAAACTGCACTGTTTTGGTTATAGGAACTCTTTCATTATCAATTGTTACTCATAATAAAATTGATTGACTTACTCATTGCCATTGAATTAGTAGGAGATGATTTTAAAAGAACTAGTTGGTTTGAAAAAAAGAGAAGAAAAAAAAAAAAAAAAAAAAGATAGTTCTAAGAGAGACCCGACACCACCATCTGTGACAAAAATTAAATTAAAAATAGTTTAAATTTGGGAGGTATCTCATTAACTTTGTCGGGTTAAAATTACCACATGACAATTAATTAATATTGAAGCAAGTCTTAAAACAGAAGAAGATAATTTTAAAAATAAAAATATAAAAATAAAATAGATTTGTTTCTTAATTTAATAAAAATAATATTTCATCTATTTATAGAATAAAACATCAAAATTATATAAATAGATGAAATATTATTTTTATTAAATTAAGAAACAAATCTATTTTAGAACGTAAATGAAAAAAAAAAAATCAAAATTCAGATTTACTAGTACTAAAGAAATTTTTTTCAACTTACTTATATTTCAATGAACAAATAGAACTTATTTGAAAATTTATTTTAAAAATATTTACCACAATTATTTTGTCATGGTTAATATCTGCTAAAAATTTCAGACTATTTTTAAATTTCACGGTTAATATCTTATACGGCTAAAATTTTCGGCGCCGCTACAAAATTAAAACAACGCCGTCTACATGCTTCCCAACCCTCCGTACAATCAATATAAGCCACAAAGTTCTATCTTATCTGTACCATTAGAACTTTTCTCTACGATTTTATTGAGTAACCAGCCCTAAGTCGCAACTCCGATTCTTCCATCATTTTCTTCATTCTTGTCCAACGTGAATGTTACTGGTCGAGGCGGAGACATAACCCGCAGCAATCCGAACCACGCCCACAAGAACCTGAACAATCTGGACCCAAAAACTCATCTTCTTCAGTAGGGAAGAGGTGTCTGATTCGTTACCCAAAGCCCCAATTCTCGATCTGGGTCCAAACCCAAAATTTAGTGATCTCCCTTCGAACATTTTGTCTGTGTTATCCGTTTCCGGCGTCGGCCGCGGAAAAACCACGAATCCAGTAGATTCCGGTGGATTCCGGCGAGGATGTGAAGGAAGAAAACCGGCATTTATGAGCCCGGCCAAGTCAGACTCTCTCTCACCCTCTCTCTCTTCATTGTGTTTGATTATCATTTTTTCTTTTAATGTCCTATTTGTATATTATAGCTCTAATTTCTGAATATTTTAATTTTAATTTTTTTTATAATTATTTATTCCTGTTGTTGAAAATAGTGACCTTGGATAAATTTTTTGTTGATGACATAGCTGAAACTTTCTCTTCTTGTTCTCACTATGAGTCTGAGACTCTCTCTCTAATCTCCTCTCTCTCTTTCTTTGCAAACAAAAATTTACAATCCTCTAGTAACCTTAGAAACTTAGGGCTTTGATTTGATACAAATTTATATATATATATATATATATATATATATGTGCATGCTTTGATTTGATACAAACTTAGGGCTCAAACGTATACATTCCTTCAAATTTTTTGATTTAGATTAGATACAAACATCTATAAAAACATAAAGAAATCAATGTGTTTTTGTAAATTATAAATATGTGTGTGTTGTATATCAACGTGTTTGTGTAATTGATTCGTGATTTGTTTCATTTGAAGATTGCAGGACTCATCTGATGTTCTGATGTGATTTTTGATGCTAGAGCTGGGCAGAGGAGTTAAAGAAAAGGTTAGGGTTTTCAATTTTTCTGATACATTTATGAAATTGGAGTTAGTCTTTAATGTGTATTATGAAATTGGGGTTTTCAGATTATATCTAACTTGGAGAGAGATAATTCATATGGGGGATTCCCAAGGATGATGATGATGGTGTAGATTCGTTATCAATATCTATCCAGGTAAATTTTATTTTGACATTTAATTTAATTTAATTTAATTTAATTTAATTTAATTTTTTTAAATTGAGTAGATTGCTAGTCTAGGCTTGGCTAGGCATAATGTGTATTTGTGAAAGTTTTTGTGCATGGTATTTCTTTTTCACAAAATATTTTATATACCTTTTTTTTTTCCGTACTTGTTTGTATTTCTGATGGCTTCAAGGAACCTCAATTATAATGCTTATTCTCATATATATGATGACAAATTGAAAGTGGAAGAACCACAAGCTTCTTTGTTTATACAAATATTATCATGTATTGAAAGTTAAGGGAAGGCATGTTTTCAATAAATTTGGTTGTTTGCTGAAACCATGTTCAAATTATAACATTGCCAGTCGCATTGGCACCTTCATTTCGTCTCCAAATGTGAAGTTGTGTTTGGGTGAACTTTGGTAAGAACCATAACAAAAATATATGCATTTATCAAACAAAAATCTAGTTTTTTCAAAACTCTTGGGCCAAGCACCATAAAACATAGTCCTCTGCAAATTACAAAAAGTATATTTAATCAATTAAATATATAAATTTATAAGTCCTTAAGCCTTTTGCCTAATTAGACTTCTCATTGAGTATGTAATTATATGGAATAGTTTTTGTTGGCATTTCTTATTAGATATTCCTTGCCAATCAATACCTTCTGTATTTCTCCTCACTAAATGACGATGGGTTAACGCTTTAGTTCTGATATTAAATAATCATGCATCATTTTTAGAAGTGAAACTAAATAATCATGAATGCCTTTTGAATGTCTCAAGAGTGCAGAGGAAAAATGTAATATTTGGCTATAATCATGCATCATTTTAAAGTGAAACTAAATAATCATGAATGCCTTTTGAATGTCTCAAGAGTGGAGAAGAAAAATGTAATATTTGGCTATTAGTTCTACTGTGATAAAGAAATATATATATATATATATATTTCAGTCTTGGATTTATTCTACACTATGGTTGTATTGACAAATTAGAAGTCAATAAAGCGTAATTTTTATTCAATGTAGGACGACTAAAGTGTTGCCATCATTATTGGAGTAGAATTTCTTGCTAAGTAACTAAATACGCCTCTAGCACGGGGTTTTTAATTGTAACAAGTTAATCATTTGTTTAACTATTTTATTTTTATAATTACTGGATACACCTCTATACATATTTGACGAATACTGTATTGTACTAAATTGTAGTGGGTTAAGAGCAAATATACATGATATAAATGTAAAGTACTATTGTAATTGTATAGTCATTATTTTTTTGTTTTTTGTTTTTTGTTTTTTTTTGGCTATTCAATTTCACTTAATTTCTAAACTAAATAAAGTGATTCAAAAATGGGTTTAACCATCTCCTATTAGACAATAGATTACTGTTAAATTATTTTCTGCTGGTACAAGTTGAATTTAAACAACCTTTATTCATAGTTTTTGAAGTTCACACTATATTTGAAATGTTTATACTTTTGGTTCGAATGCTGGTATAAAGATTACTATGATTATGCTAAATCAAAAGGGCTGGATGTAGGTATATTAGTATTTGACATTTTTACAAAATCAATAAAGGTTACATTTTTACATTTTTACCAAAAGTTCTATGAATCAATATTTGACATTTGCACTCTAAATCATTATAAAGATTATTATGTTACAATTTCACAATTTTACTTTAAATCAACATTACATTTTAATTATTAGAAAATATTTTGCTGGTACAAGTTGAATTTAAACAACCATTATTCATAGTTTTTGAAGTTTACACTAGATTTGAAATATTTATACTTTTGGTTTGAATCCTGGTATAAAGATTACTATGATTATGCTAAATCAAAAGGGCTGGATGTAGGTATATCAGTATTTGACCTCTTTACAAAATCAATAAAGGTTACATTTTTACCAAAAGTTCTATGAATCAATATTTGACATTTGCACTCTAAATCATTATAAAGATTACTATGTTACAATTTTACAATTTTACTTTAAATCAACATTACATTTTAATTATTAGGAAATATCCTACCAACTCCCTAGTGAAAAACTTTTTGAAAAAAAAAAAACTCACTGGGAAAAATGTTGTAATTTATCTTTTTTATTCTGAATCTAGTTTGATTTTTTATTTTACAAAAATAAATTTGATACATTTGTATGTGATTGCGAATGACACGCTAAGACATAGTCTAGTGGAGTGGACCAGGTCATACTTTCTTCCAATGAAACAATAATTTTTTTGTTTGCGTGTCCAATCTGGAATTTATTCTTCGCTATGATTTTATTGGCAGAGTGGAAGTCAATAAAGTTGTAATTTTTATTCAATGTAGGATGACTAAAGTGTTGCCATCCTTTCATTCTTGATGATAAAATGACTTTAACTTTCTATATTATTTTATGAATCATCATATTCAATTTTAAGATATTGTATTTCCTAATCGGGACACTCTTAGCAAAAATTGTGTTGCCCTACTCATTATATGAATTATTTAATGGTCATAACCATTCTTTATATTTCTTGTTTCTCTTGATAGACAATCTATATAATACCCAAAATGTTATCATAAAGGCAAATTGCAGCTAATAAATGGGATGCTGTGAAGAAAATTATTGTTCTAGAGAATCTACAAACACTTAAAGTGAGACCGGGTATGAAAAGTCGAAAGAAAGACTGTTAAGGATTTGGAGCAATATGAGTAAACGACACAAATGTATAAAACTATCACGGACAAGCTTGACATACCTTAATTCCCTGAGCAAAGCGATATCTTTAGTAATTCGTTCATATTTTGTTTTATTATGGATATGTTAGTTTTTTTTTTTTTTTTTTTTTTTTTTTTTTTTAATTTATTTGTTAGTTTTTAATGGACAAACCATTGGTAGATGTAATGGAAATGCCATGCATGGATGTATTTAATAGTTTCTCTTTTTTTATAGATAAACCATATGGATATATGTATACGATGTGTAATGGATGTATTTTATTTGAAATAATTAATTGAATTATTTTTTAAGTTTTTACTATATATGATTAATGGTATTTAATTACTAGTGTATTTTAAATTAAAAAAATTAAAATGTTGATAGATTTATTAATTATATTACCGGTCCAAAATTGTTTTTTTTTTTAATAAAAGAATTGGATATTTGTGACCAAATTTGATGGCTACAAAATGATTATCTATTTGTGACCAAATGCTATGGTCGAAAAATAATAATTTATTTGCGACTAAATTTAATGGTCGCAAAAGGGTAGCTTATTTGCGACCAAAAATAAGGGTTGCAAAAGGGTAACTCATTTGCGACCAAAAATAATGGTCGCAAAAGTGTAGTTCATTTGCAACCAAAATAAGAGTCGCAAAAGGGTAGCTCATTTGCGACTAAAATAATGGTCGCAAAGGGGTCCCTCATCTACGACCAAAAATAATGGTCGCAAAAGGGCATCTTATCTACGACCAATATAATGGTCGCAAAAGGGGAGCTTATCTGCGACCAAACATAATGGTCGCAAAAGGGTTCACTATTTGTGACCATATAATTTGGTCGTTAAAATTCATTTTGGTTAATAATATAATGGTCGCAAAATAGGGCTTATTAGCAACCAATTCATTTTTTGGTCGCTAAAAACTATCCGCGTCGCGAGTATCGTCGACCATGGGGTGACCAAAACGTTTTGGTCGCTAAAGGGCATTTGCGACCAAAAAATTTGGTTGCAAAAAGCCCAATTTATTGTAGTGTGTCCTAAATTTTACAGTTTTTGTTCCCAAAATGTGTCGACTTTTGGAGACGTTGAGGAAATGGAGCCTTAGGCTCATAAGAAGTCTCCACATTTGGGGTCACAAGCTTGGAATTTTCAGTGTTCGACTTTGGATTTTCAGGAGTGAAATTTGGATTAGATAAGCTAGGATTTGGATTTTTTGGAGGAAGAATTTTTTCATCTTTTCCTCCATCAACCTTGTTGTCCAAGATTCGACCACTCCTAAGGGTGGTGATTGCTTAGATATGTTCCTAAGTAGGCCCACTCAGAGGATGGAATTCGTCAATCACATGGATCCCTCTAGGATTCTCAAATGGTTGAGCGGGAATTTTTTCCTTATCTCTTTGAAGAAGTTGGTTCATTGAATTAGCTATTTGTCCCACTTGATTCTCAAGTTTAGCTATTGACTGAGTATGTGAATGAACCATTTGGAGAATGGGCTGCAATGATGTCAGGAGTTGCTTGTTAGATTTTAACATTTACTTGTTAAGGGATTCCATCATTTGTTTATTTGCAGTGAGAATCTCATCAGTTGGAAACACAGGAGGTGGAGTAGAAACATTTGGATTATAGGGTGGACGGTAACTTGAAGAGGCCTGAAATTGCCTATTTAAAAATTGAAAAGAGGGCTGGTTTTGATGCCCTTGACTTTGAAATGTCGAATTTTGTGGGGGCGGGTGCCTCCACGAAAAATTCGAATAATCTCTCCATCCCGGATTGTAGGTGTTGGAGTAAGGATTATTTTCGGGCCTGGAAAACATGGCATTAGCTTGCTCGTAATTGTTACTAGGAAATTGCTCCGGTGTGGGCCAATCTTCCAAGAGATGGAATGGGCTAGTGCATGATGCGCACATCGCACTTGCTGAATTTTGAAATAACGAAGGAGAGAGATGTGGTGCCATTAATTGATAAAATTTGTGAGCTATAGCATCCACCTAAGAAGATTTTTCTCTCATTGTCTTTGGTTGACATAGATTGGTGTTCTTTGCATTGGTTGAGGTTGGAGCCCTACGAGAATTATGTTGCAATGAGTTTTCGCTCAAATTCTCGAGTAGGGTTTAAGCTTTATCCGCATTTTTAGACACGAACATCCCTCCACATGATGAGTCAACCATGAGTTTATGTTGTTCGGTTAAACCATCATAGAAAGCTCGCACCAATTGCCATTTTAGAATTAGGTGGTGCGGACATTTCCTAAGGAGGTCTTGAAATCTTTCCCAAGTCTCATGGAATTGT